CTTTCCCTAATGAACAAAATAGAGGCCATGTCTAAACATTAGTAACTGGTAAATTTCTTAAGAGGTCATTACAAATTTTATAAACCATACTTATTTTAGTTTAAGGGAACTAGAAAAACAAGTATACAATTCATAACACTTTAAATGAACAAAGTGTGGGCCAGGAAATAAAACCAATAGTAAACTACTTTGAGTCTTAGAGCAGCAATCCATTCTCCAAGAATTGGTTCAAGAATACTAAGTACTGATTGTACTAAGAAGCAATCCTTACTTAGTTACATGGGTGGGCTGTATGTTGTTCTTTTCCATTATCAAAGCAATTCAAAGGAAAGGTCTAAAAATGCACCTCCAAAGGGTTCATTGTATTATACAAATGCCATTTGCTTTGAAGCTAATGATCAGATCTCAGAAACAGAGACATTATTCCAGGAAATGGTGAAGATATTTTAATATTAATCTAACATGTTACTTGTGAAGAAGTATCTGGCAGGCAAGAAAAGTTCTGTGTGTTTTATTTAGGAAAAATTCTGTATCATTTTTTGCTTTAGTTTAAATGATCTCTAAGACTTTGTACAAATGTAGATGTAAAAAATAAAATATACTGTGCACTGTAATTTTTAGAAGCTGTATTTTTTACTGAGCATAGGGATTATTCAGTAAAAATTTGCTGGATGAATCTGGCTCTAAGAATAAATTTCTTTTAAGGGGGGTTTAAATGATACAAAATAATGACTTAGCATTGTAATAAAATGTTGTCAATTTTATTAAAAGTAGATTCCATTCCTTCACACAGGTAAGTTTTGTGTTTTTTTAAAGCCCATTTTATTGTATTGTTTCATCAGAGTAAGTTGGCTCAGTGAAACTGTCACTGATAAAAACACGTACAAAATTAGCACCAAACATCTATAAATGCAGATAGCCACAGTGAACTTTCCAATATGTACAATCTCCCTTTAAACATACACACATATATTTACAGCTAATAAATAACACTGAAAGTCAAAGCATTGCTGATATATATATAGTGAAGTCTGTAGAAGTCAGAGGTCCCAGGACCATACACTGATTGAATTCATACTTTCTTAAATTGATGCACCCTTGCTCAAAACCCAAATCCCGAGAATTAATGAATTATAACAATGAAGGGGGATGCCAACAACAGGTCGCACAACATTTTATTTTAGAGAGAATTCATTTCAAACTGGCTGATGTTAATCACAACATTCCTTCTACTTTGTACAGGCACAATCGTATCTCTCAGATGAAGGAGTGTTCCAGCACCACTGGAACACTTTCTACTGCAGTGTGTTCTAACACACCTCTTAATCATTTACCTTCCAAGCCAAGCTGAGGAATAATTGTACATGTGGGGCTTCATATGTGAATATGTGTTCAGACACCCACACACATTCACAGTTTGGATTTCCAGCAATAGCCTCTGTAATATTTGACTTCTCTATCATTTTATAATAATATATAGAAAAGCATTCTGAAAATATGAGATCTAGTTTATAAATAAATGTTCACTCACTCTTGACTAGTTGTTAAAAACAACTTTCATGACAATTCATGTGGATATAGCAATTGATCCTTTTCATTGTCCACAATGGTTTTAAGCACTGCCAGTGAATATATGACTGACTGTAACTTTTCTGTTTCTTTACTTAGTAAAAACAATCTTATTCTAAAATTTGTAGGACTTTGCATGATGCAAAGTTTCATCTTGAACACATATTTTCTTATCAAAGTTAGGGAAGAAAGAGACATGCTCAAAGTCTGAGAGAAGCATGGCTGAAATAAGCCTAAAATTGAACAGTAACTATCATACGTTAAAGGACTTCAATGAATATAATTTTGAAAATCTGATAATAAAATTACGGCATCATTTTTTTTCTTTGTAGTTAAAATTCTGTATCAGCTGATGATAACAGGCTCATTTGAAAAGCCTATCTAGGGAAAAACTATTAAAATATAATCTTGAAACAAAGCAGGAAAAGGAACGGGAAGTACTAAACCATAAACTCTACAGTTTATTAAGATTTAATTGATCTCAACTTTACATATCTCCTTTAATTTGTAACTTACTTATGATGCAACCAACCGTAGAGGGTGTTTAAAGGTTCAGTACTTTATCAACTCTGTTCTTCATTTCTATCTCCAAGTCACTAGTTCCTGGTTCACTCTTGGACTACATTCCAATGGCAAGAAGAGAGTAATTCCAAGAAAGTAGGGATTTTGATTGATAAGTAAACGGGTCCTACTCATGCTGCAAAAAACACTACTTTCTATATTTAGACTCAGAGAAAGCTTTGAGAACGTTATCAATCTAGAAAATGCAGAATTTCAATTAAAAATGAGATTCGAATCAATTTTAGGCTATGGCTAAACTTACTACATGAAGAGATCTGATTATTTTACCATTTTAAATAACTCTTATTTTTCTCTCAAAGGACAGAATGCAGTGCTTTTCATATCTGTTATTTTTTACTGTTGGAAGATGCTATTTGGCCACTATATGCCTCAAATTGAATTAGTTTTAGTATTTGAGACTGTCTCCTAAAACAACTAAAAAGGCTAGAGCTGGGATTAATACTCAGGAAAATTCACTTTTCACCATCTAAAGCACTGGGCGTCTTTTGTAAAAGTTATTTCATTCTTCATAGAAGTCATATGCTGTTCTTTCTTCTGTAGCTTTGCCAAGTTTCTGAGAGAAAACAGAGGAGGAATGGCAATTTATTATCTGCTTAGTGTTTTATAACCCTTCCCCGCCCCCCACCTTCAAGATGAAAAGTAGTCAACCAGAAGTTCAGAACAAAGGTTGTGCGAATAAATGTAATCAGAGGAAGTAGCAGGCTCATAGGAGTCAAAGACAGTCTAATATTTACTTAGCCTTGTCTTGATAAGGAGTATCCTTTTCAGAAGACTGAATCGAATGATTTCAAGATTTAGAAAGATTTCTTACTTCTAAAACTTGTTAAATAAAATACCTATTTTTTTCCTTTTCTTGTGATATGAGTCTTTTATTTATTTATTTTTATTTATTTTTGTTAGTTGGAGGCTAATTACTTTACAATATTTTAAAGAGCTTTACCAGAAGATGAGAGAGAAGCTTTTAGTTCACTGACTTAGTCACAGAGGTGAGAAATGGCAGGTTATTAGTCTGAGTCATAATTACCTCCTAGATAAAGTTCAGGAGTTTAAAAAAAAAAAAAACCAACTCCCTAAATATCTGTTGTTTCAGTAATCTTATCATCAGATGAAGAACATATCATTAAACTATCTTAGATAAAGTCATAACTTACACAAATGTGACAAGAAATACTTGATAAACAGCTAAGAGTTGGTTCCTAATTTTTCAAGTTTTGTTTTGCTTTTAAATTCACATTATAGATTAAAGTTGTGGATGACCTTGGGATAATATATACATAATAATGTGTATGTTTGTATATAACTTAATCATATATAAAACTTCATATAGGAGTCTCTTTTGAAGAGTTAAAACAAGTATGAATCATCTCAGATTTGTGATGAAGAAAACCAAAGCAATGAAGCTCTTAGTAGAAGTATACACTTAGATAAAAATTCAATTATTCTCCCTGGCTCAATACCTTAACTATTCTCCATTTCAAGTTTATCTTGAGTGCTCATACATTAATGTTTTTAATCCAGATGGCTTCATCTTGTCCAAAGTATATATGTCATAACGTAAAAAACTAAAAGAAGATAAATATTGTACATGTATAAAGTCTGAAATCCATACTTGTCCATTGATAAACTGTATTATAAAATAGAAATTAAAAGTAAAAGAGATGTGTCACATACGGCCTTTAATATGCCTTTTCTGATTACAGGATTTTTCTGTACTTTTGTCTGTAAATGTAACTGGGGAAGACAAACCAAAAGCAATTAGCTTTTCTATTTCCAGATGATGCTGTGACCAACTTGTCCCATTGTTTTCTTGTGTCACTGGCTGGTATGATATGATCTAAGCTTTCCCCCTTTATCCCTACAACCATTCACCACTTGCACCTGGCAGGGGAATGAGTGGAGGACTGGAAGTGGCATACTTTGGGAATTCCAGGAGGGGATGTGGTGGAGAGAGGGGCAGTCACATGTTCATTCTCTACTTAGTACTGACGCTCTGGAAAAATTCAGCTGACAGCTGCCATGTGGATTAACCTTAAAGGTCAGGTAGAAAAGAGCCAGGCAGTTGCTTTGAGGTGGAAAAGAGAACCATCTTCTAAACTCTTAAGTCCACAAGCTTTCCATCTTTGGGGGTTTTGAGACGGATGCTTGGTGGCTGCCCCTTTGGCTCCCTGTCCTGGAATCTGCTGGCACTCAGAATCAAGGAGGACTCTGGTTTCGGCTGATGTTTCATTCCCCTGGGTACCTCTCAGGAGGAGCTGTGCCCACAGCCACGGTGACGGCTACAGACTTGTGCTGTGTGCTCCGCACACAGGTCTGTAAAGGGGGCAGGGCTACAGTACAGGAAGAAGCAGAAGGGAAGATTCTGTGGTTCAAGAAGTAAAATAAAACCTACCAAGTGCACCAGAGCTGGCAGAAAGAACTGGAAAAAGAAAATAGAGCAAGTACTGCTAAAAGCAAATGGACAGGTCTAATATGTATGTGTGTGTGTGTATGCTCAGTCACTCAGCTGTGTCCAACTCTTTGTGACCCCATGGGCTGTAGCCCTCCAGGCTCCTTTGTCCATGGGATTTCCCAGGCAAGAATACTGGAGTGGGTTGCCATTTCCTACTCTAGGGCATCTTCCCGACCCAGGGATCGAACCCGCATCTACTACATTGGAAAGCAGATTCTTTACTACTGAGCCATTTGGAAGCCTCCTAATGTGTATACAGAAGACTTTAAGAAAGACCACCTGAAGGTTCTCATCACAAGACTCAAACCAAGCCTCTACTTTGGGGGTGAAGGGCAATGCATGAAGCAGCATCCCTTGGAGAGCAAGTTCAAGATACCCAGAGAGCCTCAGCCCATGATGCTCACCAGCCAGACTTTCTATTCAGAGACTTGTCATGGCATTTCACAAATATCACAGGAGACTTTCCTTTCTGCATATAAGACATTTTCTCCCGGGAACAGAAGATCACCCTGTGGAAGAAAATGTATGTGAACACAGCATATTGGAACAATAAAAATGACTGTTGAAAAATAAATGCTTCTGTCAGGGTTGTCTGAAACTTACATGATTCTTCTGACTGTTTTGATATTTCTAATAGTGAACTGTTTATACTCAGGCCATTCCAGTCAGCAACACATCTGAATCAGATGGTTATTTGAGGGCTTAATGCACTGTTTGGCAATAAAGCTAGTTCATTAACATAGACAGGCATACAGATAGCCTGGAGCAGGTTTAAAATCACCAGGCTTTTACCAAAAGATGATACAAGATCAACTTTACTACTTCTTAGTGTCTGCATTAAGGAATTCAGAAATCAGTCTTCAACTGGCCCTGCTAGAGAAACACATACTCTGTATAGCCTTTCCATTCACAACTTCTTTCCCTCCTCCACTTTGGTTATAAAAGAAAATGACAAAAGAGAAATATATTATTGATCCTAATTTAAAGAGTCATTTTTATTTACAATAATGGTACACTGTAGTTTGCAAAATCCCTGTACATTCAGTGTGAAAGAAAGTGAAAGTGCAGTCACTTAGTTGTGGCCGACCGCATTCCCACGGACTGCAGCCTGCCAGGCTCCTCTGTCCATGGAATTCGCCAGGCAAGAATACTGGAGTGGGTAAGCTGTTTCTTTCTCCAGGGGATTTCCCAACCGAGGGATTGAACCCGGGTCTCCTGCATTGGAGGCAGATTCTTTACCTTCTGAGCCACCAAGGAGGCCCCATTCAGTATAAAAGTTTTAAATCCTCTGAGGCTCTCTATACAATTCATTTTATAGATCTATGTGGATTTGGGTGGGGGAGAGAGGATGAGATTATCTTGGAATCTCATCCTTCTTGAAGAGGTTGGTTTTTATTTTTATTTTATTTTTTTTAAATTTGGCTATATCTCTTGGCATGTGGGATCTTAGCTCCCCAACCAGGGACTGAACCCACACCTGCTGCAGTGGAAACTTTCAATCTTAACAACTGGACTGCCAGGGAAGTCCCAAGAGGTTGGTTTTAATCTCTGAATGTCCAAGTGGCATCACTAAGGTTCTCTGCATAACTGTGTTGTGCTTGCAGGAATCAATGCTAAATGAGAAGTTGAGATTGTGGACTCCTAATCTCAGCTTTACTCAACGATTGTGGCAACTCAGTTTATGTTTTCTTTCCATGAAATGCAGAAATATCATTACTTCTCTATATAATAATACTCTTAAGAAATAATAAGCATAATTATCTAGGTATATAGTTTTAAATGAATTACATAGAGAGCCTCAGAGGATTTAAAACTTTTATATTGAATGGGGCTTCCTTGGTGGCTCAGAAGGTAAAGAATCTGCCTACAATGTAGGAGACCTGGGTTCAGTCCCTGGGTATAGGTATATAGTTTTTAAGACAAAGCCTACTAAAGTTTCACCTGAATGTTGGAGGCTCCAGAAATACTATTTCTAGTAAAGACATTTGAGTGAATCAGAAGTGAAAGGAGAAAAATTAATTACTTTTTTTGAGTCTCTCCTGCCTTTACTCTGATCTTCCCAATATCAAAGCCGGGGCTGCTCCACCAGCTGGACCAGCTGAAGTATGAATCGATAATCCATTTGAGTTTCAACATTAGCAGTTCTCCAATATCCACCTCCGTGTAAAGTAGAAAGGAGTATGTCTTATTTGTGGAAACTTCAGGCCTGAATAAAAAATCAACATATTTGGTTAGTTCTGAAAATCAGAATTTTTTTCCCTTTTTCTTTCTCCTAAAAGGTAAATAGCTTTATTGTTTGGGGAATATTTTAAAAATGCAAAAAATGTCCAACAAAATACACAAGATGAATGTCAATGGCATTTAGAGTATTTTGAAAGATGGCTACACCCCTTTAAAGTATTCCAACTTTTATCTTAACAATATGAATTATGTAATATAATTCTTAAGAGAAAAAATTCATAAGTCCATCATTTAGAGATATTGGTTTCATTTTCATATATTTCCTTCCTATTTGTATTGATGTATGAACATGTGTTTCCTTTGTCACAATCATAGTGTACATGCGATTCTCTATTTTTTCTTTATTCATTTCATGTTTTACCTTCCACTTTTTAACATGCTTTACCTAGTTTTCTATAACTACACTTTTTAGAGGCTAGATTGATTTTATTGATTTGTTGAACCACAATTCACTTAACCATTGCCTCGGTTGTGGATACTTACTTTGCTTCTAATTTATGCTACTGTGGGTTCCACTGTAATGAACATCTTTTGCCTTTTAAAAAATTTTCTATTGAGTACACCTTTTTTTAGGAGTCCTATGCCAGGGGTCTGGGGTCTAATGCCTGATGATCTGAGGTGGAGCTGATGTAAGAATAATAAAAATTAAGTGCACAATTCATGTAATGCTCTTGAATCATTGGAACCATCCCCTATCTCCCGGTCTGTGGAAAAATTGTCTTCCACAAAACAGGTGCCTGGTGACAAAAAGGTTGGGGACTGCTGTCCTATGTCCTTTCTATTCCTCAGGCTGATGGTCAGGGCAGGTAACACCATAACAAACCCCCATGCTGAAGGTAAAATCTTGTGGCTACTCACAGGGTGAAAGGGATGTTCTCGCTCTCAGCCACGGTGCCATACAGAGAGATCTGGAAGGCCTGGTTGGTGTATGTATTACTCTTAGTTCCAGAAAAATGTATCTTTACTTGGTAATGGAAGACTGTAGAGAGAAAATCAGAACAAGCTCTGATCAGTCTTTATGGAAACACCACAGCACAAACAAGCATGCACTCTCAACAGCAGACTGCTTCTTACTAGTGATCAACAGGAAGTGTTCATACATGACTATAAATGTGACTAGGAAAGATTGCTTCATATCTGTACAGTGCTTACTACTAGAATATTCAGGCTTTGAATTCTACTCCCTTGCAGAAGAGTGTGGTTCTAGTGGATAGGAAAAATCCAGGTGTATCTGACTTGGTAAGCAGACCCAGAAAGTAGTCATCTTTGATCGGGTACTGGGCTTCCTAAGCAACTCAGATGGTAAAGAATCTGCCTGCAATGCAAGAGACTCAGACTGTTAACAAAATGGGTGTATCTTAGAAGGTTTGGTATATTCTTCCCTCTTAGGGCTAGTTGTATTTTCAAATACAGGTGGTTCCTGCCTTCACTTAAAGCAGACTTTGTTGTTTGTTGTTTAGTAGTTCAGTCGTATCCAACTCTTTTTCGATCCCGTGGACCATAGCCCACCAGGCTCCTCTGTCCATGGGATTCTCCAGGCAAGTATAGTGGAGTGGGTTGCTATTTCCTTCCGTAGGAGATCTTCTCAACCCAGGGATTGAACCTGCGTCTCCTGTATTATAGTCAGATTCTTTACCACTGAGCCACCTGGGAAACCCCAAAGCAGATTTTAGGAGCTGGCATCCTTTTTCTGCAAAGGATGAGAGTAAAGAGTTTTGAGTTTTGCCAAAGAGCCTCTGTCTCAACCACTCAACTCCATCATGAAGGTATGAAAGCAGCCTTAGTCAATACAGAAATGAATTAATGTGGTTACATTCTAACAAAAGTTTTTTTTTTTGAATAAGCAGATGATGGGCTGGAATTGGTTCATGGGCCATAGTTTGATGACTCTGTATGGATGGTCTCACACGAACTCAGCCTGGTACTAATGTGGTGGCCCATGCTGATGGGCACAAGCGCAGAGGATGGTGGCAAGCAGGACCACTGCGCAGGGTACTGCACTTGAGCCCCGGGCCTTACTAGCAGGGGGAATTAGGAACTCCAGCAAAATGGATTAGCGCAACTTCCCCTCTACCAACAGAAACACAAATGAGGGCTCAGAACGGAGCAACATTGTTTTATTATCTCTACTGCAATGGACAAAATCAGTACATGTGATGCAACAAGCATGATAATAAAAAATAAGATCAAATCCATTTTCCTATTTATAACAGTCTCCAGCCTACCTTTGTAAGGCATCTGAGAACGAGTCTTCAGGTACATCTTGCTGCTTCTTTTGGCTCTGACCTTGTTGATCTCGTAGCCCATGTTGTTGCAACGGTTCTTTCTGCAGCTCAGGCAGAGACCTTTCTCAAAGGCTTCTTTGGAATTGCACCGGTAGGCCTTACTTGGATTTTCTTCATTCAACAGAGAGTCAATGAAGAGATGAACGGAACGCTCATGGGAGCACTTCACTAGCTGGTCCACATCTGGGGAAAAAGAGACACAAGGAACATTTCAACTCTGTGACAGTTCACAATGAGTGTTTCATCTTGCATGTTTAATACAGCTGAGATGTGGTGTTAGAACAAAATGATCTCCTTTATTGTAGGTCCTGTTTAAGGAGGCAGTCTTTTTTTTTTTTTTTTTAAGGAGGCACTCTTGATAGCAGCTTTCTTCCCTACTCCAAGTGTGTTAAACTTGACAATTTTATCAGGAACTTTAGACACTTCTGCTGTCTTATATTTGTATGTTTACAAAGCTATAATAAGGATATCCAAGATAGAAGTTGATTTCCCCCAGTTCATCACACCTTTTACTTATATTGAAACTATAGAATACCTCTAGATGGTTCTGGAAGTATACCCCTAGAAACCACATCATAGGTATAATTGCCAAATTAACAGCATTTTATCATAGAAACTATGAATAATTGAGGAGTGTGTCACTGTTCATGATTTTTACATTATATTAGAATTATTAATAATTATTTCTATAATTTCTATAATTATAAAATGTATTATTTCTATAATTTCTATAAATGCATAATTATAGAATTTTAGAAATAATCAGCAATGTCATAAAAGTACAACTTTTTATCATAAGCTTTTTTAGCAATTAAAATTAGCAACATTATGCTGTAAATTCTGTAAAGTATGCCCAAAACATCAGAGTATATTGGTTATAGGTAGGTCCCATTGTCCACAAGGTATGCAAAGATCCCTTAAAACAAATCAGAAAATTAACACACACTAACATGATTATTCGGAGAAGGCAATGGCACCCCACTTCAGTACTCTTGCCTGGAAAATCCCATGGGCGGAGGCACCTGTTAGGCTGTGGTCCATGGGGTCGCTAAGAGTTGGACACAACTGAGCAACTTCACTTTCACTTTTCACTTTCATGCACTGGAGAAGGAAATGGCAACCCACTCCAGTGTTCTTGCCTGGAGAATCCCAGGACGGGGGAGCCTGGTGGGCTGCCGTCTGTGGGATCACACAGAGTCGGACACGACTGAAGCGACTTAGCAGCAGCAGCAGCAACATGATTATTCAACATTAAAAACTAATATTAAACTGTATTTTCTTCTTAAAAACTTGGAATAGTTATTCTTGGGGAGCGGTGATTTGTTTTTGATTTGTACATCTCCTTAAAAGACTGGCAAAAGAAATTTGGACTAATTAACATGTCCTTTACTTTTAGTAGAATTAAAAATAACTACTGGTTTTGCACTGTATTCAAAGTTTAATGTGTAGCAAGATAACACTTTATCAAAGGCAAGGCAGTTTTCTTGCCATCTCACTGTTTGTTTGTTTTTCCTTTTATTACTGCAAGTGCAGTATTCAGTGCAGCTTACCATATAATACAAGATGAAATGTCTATCTGACCCCAGGAAGTGTTGAGGCTCCAAGGTGATCATGCTAACATGTGACAGACTTCTTCAAAATCACATCTTGACTAAATGTATACTCAAACTATGTACTTGTGGAGAATGGTAGGGCACTTGGTCAGTAAGAGTTAAGACAAAAACTTACATTTAGTTAACTTCTGAATTATATTTACCTCCAAGGCCTCTCTCTGCAATCACACGGAGAGCTTCCCCAATGTTACATCCTGGTTGGAACGTGCCTCCGTTAGGGTAAATGTCAACATGCCCCACTGGTTTCTGGATTCCGATACTTCGGCCAGGTGACCCTCTGGTGAATGTGTGTAAAACGTCTACAAAATCCGCATCATCAGGAGAAAGGCGACTTGGAGCTTCTGCATACTCGAAGTTAGGTCCAGCTGGATCTAGGCCTTAGCGGGAAAACAAAAAGTCCTCAGAGATTTGTATTTATTTATATATCTGGCTGCATGAGGCCTTAGCTGTGGCATGTGGGAGCTTTCATTTCATCACGTGGGATCTTCCCTTTGGGCTGCATGAACTCTCCAGTTGAGGTGTGTGGGCTTAGTTGCTCCATCGCATGTGGGATCTTAGTTCCCCAAGAAGAGATGGAACCTGTGTTCCCTTCATGCAAGCTGGATTCATAACCACTAGACCACCAGGGAGGTCACTCAGAGATTTTTTAATTCACATTAGTTTTAGTCTCCATCAGTATCACCTTAGCATTCCATTGCTCATCTTTTGAATGTAACTGGCAGTCACGATTGTTATCAGCTCCAATTCAGTAGTGACTGAGTTTTAAATTACTGAGATTCATAAAAGAAGGCTTATCTCTTCTTCAAATAAAATTTGAATTTCCCAAACTAATCATTAAACAACAATTTTCACACAGGATGACTTGATTCCCTTTTGTAAATTATTTCTGTGCCTGGTTAGAAGGCCTGTAAATAGTGCTAGGCTTTCTTCCTCTCTACACAGGCCAAACTATCTATTGCCATTGGCCCGGATGACAGGTCTCCTTTTTCCAAATGGCCTCTGGTGTGGGTCCTTTTTCTTTTTTTCCAGTTTTGATGTGAGAGGTGACAAATAAGTGTGCAATACACTATCACAGCACAGAGCAGAGGGAGGAGGGAAGCGGGTTTCTGAGCTGCCACTGGGCTTCCTGTGTTTAACTCTGCATCGTTTCTCTTCTTCTGCCAGTAGATGGTGAGCCCATGAAAGCAAGGGTCTGAATTTTATCTTATTCCAGAAAAAGAGCCCTCCCATGTGATAATCAAACGGCCAGGCATACCCAGGAGGGTAACATACATATGTTTATTCGGCAAACATCCTGATTCTCTTTCAGAGCAACAGGCAATGGAGTTCTTTCGTTTTAAGAGAAAATGGCACTGCTTTCTTACCAGTAATCCTGTTGACCTTCTTATTGGTCAGACTTCCCGCAATACCAGCAGCATGCGCCCCAAGGCTGTACCCCAAGAGATGCACATTGTCCAGGGGATAGTTAAATTCATCCTTTGGAAGATGAACAGAAAAGAGTCTTACAGTTCTTTGCAAAATATCAATGCTTAAAGAAATAAAAGTTGAATAGTATTTCAAATAAATAAATATCATTTTCAAAATAGAGGCAATACTGAAACTTAACTCTTTATTTTAATTTCTTGTTACAGGTAAGAGGAACATAGACTATATTGTTGAGATTTTCTCTTTCCTTACTAATATTTAAATTAGAGAAGTTTTCCAAATGTCTGAAATAGAAATGTATGGATATATGAATTTCCATACATCTGAAAATATATGTATATGTGTATATTTATATATTGGAGTAGGAAATGGCAACCCACTCCAGTATTCTTGCCCAGAAAATTGCATGGGCAGAGAAGCCTGGTGGGCTACAGTCCATGGGGTCACAAAGAGTTGGACATGACTAAGCGACTGAGCACCATATTTATATATAGGTATATATATATATATATATATATATAGACACACACATACAGATATATATTTAACTCATCATTTTCTACTCAAATACTTTATTTATTTCTACTTTATTCTTTAAGGTTACTCAAGAATGACTTAAAATCAGAAAGTATTACAGAGGATGGGACATATATGGGCCAGCCTTCTCATTCAACAGATGAGAAGTCTGAGTTCCAGGAATGTGATCTGATTTGCCCAAGTTCACTCTCCTGGTTAGCAAAAGAGTCAAGAAAAGAACTTTTATCTTTTAATGATCTATTCAATAAACAGAGCTTATTTTTAAGTACCTGGCTTAAATAATGGCCTGTGAGAGTACTATCTTCATTTCAACCCCAAGATACTTTCCAAAGGTAATTTTCAGAGGATGACCTCAGAGAGTCAAAGTGAATAAAGCTCCTGACCCTCAGCTACTTCATATCCTACACACTTTTCAGCCATTTTTTTCCCCCTAGCTCATCTCCATCACTTCTCCAACTCTCAACAAAAATCCAGATGTTTAATCCACACTAAGGACTGGACCAAACTGAACTGAACTGAACTGAAGGAAGAAGTAATACTAAAATTTTCATCAAAAGATTGGTATTCTAACAGGTCAAAGCCTGGATAAAATTTCCATGTGCCAGCCAACTGGTAGGGAAGGATTTGGCTGAACATGACATCTTTCCTCTGCCCTGAAATAACAAGTTTTTGTCTGTCCTGCCCACTAAGAACTAAGAACAAAGGTTCTTGGTCTCAGCAAATCTATTCACTATGAAAATATCAAAGGACAGTGCAGGGCAGGACTATGCTTTATGGGTTGTATAGCTTTATCATTTTTTATCATAATGCTACTTGTAGCTGAAAAAAATAATGTCCATGCTTATTCTGAAGATATGAGTTGACCCCAAAAATATCTATATCTAAATGTAAAGGAATAAAGGGCTTCCCTGGTGGCCCAGATGGTACAGAATCTGCCTACAATGTGGGATACCAAGGTTCTATGCCTGAGTCGGGAAGATCTCCTGGAGGAAGGCATGGCAACCCACTCCAGTATTCTTGCCTGGAGAATCCCATGGACAGAGGAGCCTGGCAGGCTGCAGTCCACAGGGTCGCAAAGAGTCAGACACGACCGAGCGACTGACACTTTCTCTTTTTTCCCACAAAGGAACAAAAATCAGTTGTTAGTTCAGTGCTGGGAGCCATTATGGGAGGTCCCGCCCGTGACGAGGTCATGAAGAAAATACCGGGCAGGCAAGGCCGGCCGGGACCCCATCCATGACGAGGTCATGAGGAAAAAACCTGACAGGCAAGGCCGTCTAGGATAAGAGACCCTCCAGGTTGGCCTCGGCCTCTGCCCCACCCTGGATCCTCCCCCCTTTTCTGCTGTTGTTCTTGTTTGCCCTGCTGCGGATTCTTGTGTTGCCTGCCGAGAGCTCTCCTGCTCCTCTTTCACTGAAAGAGGACCAACTTAAAACCCTAATTAATAAATCTCCTGGACGCTGCTACCCTATGAAGGGACCAGGGATGAAGGAAATGCTTCAATTCAAACCCTTTTGCTGGCATTCTGGCTTGTTTGATAAATGTGTGCTCTCATTGCAAAAAATGCTCATGATTGTTCTAAACATCCTAAGCACAGTACGCTAACAAAAGACACCATTAAGCATAGGTCCCTCCGCAGGGTGAGAAAAGCTCCATAAATAAAATAGCCACAAATGTGCCTAATAAAAAATACTTTAGACAGAGATTAACTGGTGACTTCTTGCAGGTAGTTAGCTTTTAGACTAAGAGCCTGTATTGTGCCATATCTGCTGTTTTTGCAATCCT